GGAAAGTTAAATAAGTTAATGTGTGAGAAGACTACCACGGTATGTGGCCCACCGTAGAAAGTCATGGTAAAAAATGCTGCAACAGTAATGGATGCTCTTCAATTCCCAGTACCAAACAAAGGAAAAAAATAGTAACGAATGTTACCTTGTCATTGTCATTGTTATTGTGCTTTTCTTTGTCCTCATCACCTACACTTCACATATCATCTATTGAATTTCTGCAACAAAACTGTGATGAACCATAGCCACTGCACCCTACCATGTAGATAAGAGAAACTAAGACACTTGCAGTAAAAAAAACAATCCTTTCCCACTCCGTAGAGCGGACCCAAGACGCGAAGTCTGCAGTCTTCACTAGCAGTGCGGCTCGGACCTTCCTGTGAGATGGACTCAGCCCCATCTGGCACTCCTTTCCAAGTGCCCTGTACCGTTCTCCCTGCCGCTGATTCTAAGTCTCAGGACCTCCCCAAACTCCGTTTCTCCTCCCCTTCTCTTGCACTCACCACATATTAAGTTGCCGTCCATAATTTTTCTAACCCTAAATGTTACTCAGCAGTCTCTTCACGCACCTCTTTTGGACTGCAAAGCATTTCACACATCCATAGCCATCGCTGCATCCTGTCTAATCCTTTCCTGCTCTAGATGGAAGGACCCGTGAGCCTTCTTCCAGGGTAGCTAACCCTCCCTTCCTCCTGCGGGAGCTCACCAGCGAGCGCTCTCGCTGCCCCTCCCTTCCTCTTGTCCCTATCGCCTTTCTCTTTATTTCCCTTTCTCTCTACTTCTCCTCTTACTCTCCTTTTCTAAAGCAGCTTCAAGTTATCTTCCTGTCTTTGTGCTTCAAACAAAGAACGATCTTTCCATTCTTGTCCCTCTTTTTTTTTTTTTTTTTTGGTACCAGAATTGATCTCAGGACCTTGCACTTCACTTGCCAGGCAGGTGCTGTGCCACTGAGCTACATCTCTGGTCCCTTTTTGTCACCGCTTTTTTTTTTTTTTTTTTTTTTAGTATTTTTTAAAATTTTATTTTAAAGAGAAAAGAAAAAGAACAAAGTAACAAAAACAAAGACAAAACCAAAACACAAAAACTATAAAAATGATACAGAATTTCAAAACAAGATGATAGGAAATCAACAATAGTTGTTGTATTTTTACCTTCAAAATAGTTGCTCAGATGACCAGATATTGACTTGTCATTCATCAATTCAAATTTCCCTGACATCCGTGCTCCACAGCTGTCCCAGAATCCTTATATCCTACCAACTAGTGCTTGTGTTTGCCAAGCTTTTAGAATTGCTTGCTTGAATACCCCTCGAAAGCCATGCTTTGTGTGTCTGATGCCGCTTGTTTGTTTGCGCTTGGCCCCTCAGTCATTTACCTCTCAGTAGGACCCTCTGAACTCCCATCTCTTGCCAGCCACTGCACTTGGTTTCACTGTATCCATCCGCCAGCTGTTCAGTGTAATTCTTACTGTCTCCTCTAATGCTTGTCTTCGCTTCCTCACCCACACTGCTCCTTCATTTAAAAATTCCATCATTCTGAAAGGAGCCGTCCACAGGCTCAATCTGCTGTCCCTCTTATGTATCCTAACCATGTGATGTATCTGCAGTCTGACCTAGGATGGTTACACTTAATTTCAACTTGACTAGCTTGGGAGCTACCCAGCGAATTAGTAAAGAACACTCCATTTCCATTGTCTGCATGAATCATGGAGATGTGAACAAAGGTACTATGTTCAGTCTCTGGCCTTTTCTCTGTGGCGCTCTATCTGTTTTCCTTCTGGCTGTTATAATTTAAGTAGCCTTTATATCTCAGGCCATAATGGTCTTGCCTTGGAACCAGTCAACCATGAACTAAATCTACCGCAAACCATGAGCCAAATAAACCTCTTCTCCTTTAAATTGTTGGTGTCACGTAGTTCCTTATAGCAATGAGAAAGCTAACTAATACACATAAGGTTGGATGTGCACAACAACAGTCTTATCATTAAATGGAAATGGTATATTCGTGATCGAATGAGAGCAGGTCCAGAGGGTACCAGTAAATTACATGAGGAAGTTGCCCAGATGCCTATGGCTCCTACGCCCACTGTATTGCCTTCCGTTTCCCAGCATGCACCTATGGCCTTGAACAAGGTGCATAGGGGTGTACCATATGATCAGCTGTCAGAGGAAGGGAAGACTAGGGCCTGCTTTACAGATGGCTCTGCACGCTATACAGGCACCACCTGCAAGTGGAGAGCTGCAGCATTACAGCCCCTTTCTGGGACATCCTTGAAAGACAGTGGTGAAGGGGAATCGTCACAGTGGGCAGAACTTCAGGCAGTGCACTTGGCAGTACACCTTGCCTGGCAGAAGAAATGGCCAGATGTGTGACTATATACTGATTCATGGGTTCTAGCCAATTGTTTGGCTGGATGGTCAGGAATGCAGAAAGAACATAACTGGAAAATCGGTGACAAAGATATCTGGGGAAGAGGTACGTGGATAGACCTCTCCATGTGGGCAGAGGATGTAAAAAATATTTGTTTCCCATGTAAATGCTCATCAAAAGGTGACATCGGCAGAAGAAGACTTTAATAATCAAGTGAACAAGATGACCCCTTCTGTGGATAGTGGCCAACCTCCTTCTTCAGCCACCACTGTCATTGCCCGAAGGGCCCATGAACAGAGTGGTGGCGGGGATGGTGGCTATGTATGGGCTCAGCAACATGGACTCCCATTCACCAAAGCTGATCTGGCTGCAGCCACTGCTGAATGCCCAATATGCCAGCAGCAGAGGCCAACACCGAGTCCCCGACATGGCATCATTCCATTACTTAAAACATGATGCACAGTGGAGCTATAGCCTCTTTTCTGTAGATTCTTCTGCATTCTGTCCCCACCTCATCAGCCTCCTGATATGGACTTGCACGGACACTTTAGTGAGCTCCAGGCCTCGGGCTGGGCTCTTCGATCTTCAGCGTGCAGACACCTTCTGCATGCTTCCTCATCCAACTCTGTGGCTGACCATTGTAAGCCAAACTTGTAATTTCTTGTCCATTTGTATATCTTGTGCTATATCTGTTTCTCTAGTAAACCCTGACTGATACACCCACAGCTTAGCATCAGTACAGGGACCCAGATTCCTTCCAGTTTCTCACTCTGTTCTGCTCAGCACAGTCTCATGTGAGCTCCTTTCACGGTTGCATGGTGGTGCCACTCTCCCAGGGAGTGGTACACACATCACAGCGCTCTGTAAGGAAAAGAGACTGTAGCTCCACCGTGCGTCGTGTTTTGAGTAACGGATCTTTTCCCTTACCCCTGCCTCAACCTTCCCTACCAGATTTCCCGTGATGGATCACCATGGCTCAGAGCTGTATCATCATCACCAGGGAATTTTCAAACAAAACAACATGAGACCACACAAATTCAGAAGTTTTTGAGATATGACGACAATGAAAAGTGTTGCAGGGGCTGGGGATTTAGCTCAGCGGCAAAAGCGCCTGCCTGGCAAGCACAAGGTCGTGAGTTCGGTTCCTGGTACCGGAGAAAAACCAAAAAAAAATAAAAATAAAAATAAAAGCGTACATATGTTTATTTCACTTAATATTATTTCACTTGATATTATTTATTTCACTTAATATTGTT